TAAACTAATATTATACTATCATGGTAAATTTCGTTAAATAATACTGTGGCTTGTATCATACCTTAATATAGTAAAAATTGCTTACATATAAGATACATGGCAATGTTCATCAATCAACATAATATAAGCCATAATGATTTTAAAAACATTAATACACCTAGACATTTTTCTCTTTAATAGGAGGTATTGTTACCAGAGACCTTTTTCTACATACTGATTGCTTGATCATCAAATGAATGTCTGATTGCAATTACACATAATTACATAAATATAAAATTGGAAACCTCAATATCCCTCCTTAAATGTTCAGTCTACTTAATTCCAATTATTTAATATTTCATTAGTATAATATTTAAATTAAATATTAGTTTAAAATAAAAAAAAAGGAATGACAAATAGTTGTAAAATAGATATTAAAACATTTTTTTTAAAAGCAGGGTAAGTATAAATTAGGTAAATTACTTCAAAATAGAAATCACTGATACTATTAGAAGTACCGTCAGCATTTTATTTTCTCAACAAAGATGCATATTTATTGGCAATAGGTAGAATTTGACAAAATGCAGTGCTATTATTCTCACCATCAAACTTTATTTTATTTTTCATAAACTAAATATAATCACTGACTTAACCATAAAATATCAAACTACTTCACTCGCTAATGCTCTCTTCAGTTAAATTTACGAACCTACTCTCCAGATCTTCTCAGTTTTTACAACAGTACTAATTTGATTAATACAAATGATTAACAAATTTGTACATACTTCTATACCTAGTCATTATATCTTCATCATCATCATCAAAGATAACACAATTCTTTTATATGATTAAATTTATGTTGATAATCTGTTTACTGAGTTTCTGAGTATGGCAACTATGCTGTTTGAAAATTAATTAATTAACTAACATTTATGAAGCCGCTGGAACTGTACCAAACCAATAGTGCGGTTCTTATTTCTAATAACTTAAACATATTAAGATTTTTGTCTAATTTTCTCTCATACATAATTCATAACATGGGTGTGCGGGTGTGTGTGAGTGTGTCTGTCTGTCTGTCTGTCTGTCTGTCTGTATAAATTAGAACTTATTTCTTATGTCAAAATACACTCATTATTTATTACGATTTCCATAATCAATACTTCGATACTTCTAAAAATATTTTTCTAAAAATTTCAAGTTCCATTGATTTCTCTAAAATCCAATATTTTATGATTGATCTATATGAACTTTTTTCTTTTATACCTTACATACAGGAATATATAATTTTAAATATATTATCATAAATGAATAAATTTAGTGTATACATTTATATTAATTATATTCATGCAAACTTACTAAAAAAATATGCATATCCTTTTTTAATTTCAATTGTAATATCTGAAAAAATCCATTAGGCAATTAAAAGCACTATATATTACTGAAACAACTAACTAAATACTAACCACAAAATAATCAAGAATTTACATACAACAGGTAAAATACAGTGTCTTTTGTCTCTACAGTCTATACTTGTTTTGTTTCTCAAACAAAGGTATACACATTAGACACAATGACAAGCTAATAATATAATATTGGCTATCATGTAGTTTAAGAAGTAGTCTACCAAAAATTGTGATTTACTGGCGGTAACAGTTGGCATTTAATATACACCATGTAGTCTATTCATTTTTCAAAAAACATGTTTGTGAATGAAGGAGGCAATAGTTCTACTTGTAAGAAATAAGAATTATAACTTATAATCGATATCAAGTGTCGGAACTCTAAATACATAATAAAAAGCAAAATTTAATACTCATGATCAAGAATTATGAATTTTATGTAAATATCATCCTCGATTTTCAGTAATTCTACTGTTTGGTTACTAGCACCAATAATTATTATTTGTTATTGTAGAGTGTAGACTACCTAAGTACTAAATTTCAGAAAATAGGTTACTCAAGCTTTATGGAAAATATATAATACAGAATCAGTGAATAGTTCTGTGGCCTATGAAAAACAACATGGTTTGAGATGGACGGATCGTACTGATTATTGACAGTTTAAATCGAACTTTCAAAAGTACAGTATTCAATGAAGGAGAATGTCATTCACTTGCACCACCCTTACTGTGGCAATATCTAATTTAAATATACACTTTAGCATCCATGATACAAATATATAAGCTAATCACATTAACTATCACTGCTATAATGTAACTATTGTAAAAAAATGTGTCGTTATTGGAAAAAATTGGAAAATAAATAATGTGTCTATAAAATCACACCTACTTAGAATGATTGGATTGTAATGTAGAAACATTTGAGCATCAACCTTCTTTTAACTATTGTGCAACCCAGTTTTCTTAATAAAAAAATACATAAGTAAATATTTTACCTATTTTAAAAACTGTTGTAAATAAAAACAATTTCAATTTAAATATCAAAAATTGATTCCCACGATATAATTCACATAATTCTATAATAATAATTTGTACAGAATTAATATCTTATTATTTTAAGTAGTTTTTTTCAATATTTTAAGCAGATATCTATCAATTCAGTAACAATCAATCTCTAATCTTTATAAATTTCTATGATGTATCATCTTAGCAGTGACCAATTTTTACAATTCTTAATACCAAAAAATTCTAAACGATAATCCCCAACGTGTCAACAAACAAAAAAATTAAATGTACTTATATGAATTATCCACAAAAATACAATGAGTTAAATTTACAAAATGCAATAGATGCAGATTTGGGATTTTCCATACATGAAGCAAAAAAAGTATTCATATGTCTAGTAAATGACAATACCAGTATCTAAATATTGGCATAATTTTGATAATATAACAATTTAAAGAATAACAGTAATAATTTAATTAACTAAATTTATAATTTGATTCAAAGCATTAGGCTGTAAAATATAAACATAAAAATATCTAAATGTCTTTTGATGGGCCTAGCACTTACCCCTATGTATGTTGATGAATTTGATAACAATAATAATAATAATAAAAAGATTACCAGCTATTCAGCCTATAAGAAAATCAGTCTCCAACATACTTATACTATAGAGTATAAAAGAAGCACGCACTTCGACAACATAACACTCATGAAATTTTCAACCTTTTCAAAACCATCGGCCGGTACTAACATTTAAAATAAAAAACAAACATACAAATGTAAACATTTCAATAACTTCATAAAAAAAAATATACGACCTTAAATTCAACACTGTAATTTAGCTAAGCAAATAACCTAACCAATTAATGTCAATGCAAATATAATGTAGGATAATAACTGTGGAACCTTTTAAACTTAATAATAAAAAAAAACCAGTACAGAACATGAACCGAGCCAACAATAATATTAATTTTTTTAAATTCTAAAACAACTTTCATATTAAATATTAGCTTATAGTTTTATTCTAGTTATTAATAACTTATTATAAGTATCCATAATATGTCATTAGAAAAAACTACCAAGTACTTAAAAGTTAATATACAAAATACCTTCTCAAAGTAAAATTTTTAATTAGATTCTATTTTAAAATAAACATTTCCTAAAAATACATCCGAGTTAGCCAATAGAGCTGAATTGATATTTTAAATAAATAAAGTATTTCCCACTTTTACTTAAATATATAATACATTTTGTTGAAATAAAACTTTCACGGCAAGTAAAATTTATCTTTCAATTATTCACTATTTAAAATTTTACTGTACATATATTTTTTTCTTTGTTATCTAGAACCATGCTATTCCCCGTTACTAAATGTATTTATCTTTCATAAAGTAACACACCTCCAACAAGTTATTATTTTTATTAATATCAAGTGAACCCTAATATTACAGTCAATTAAGTGTTAGATTTGTATCTTATAGAAAATTAGTATGTTTTAGATAAATAGTAGTAAAATCTGTTACATTAATATAATTTTATTGAAAAATGCAGTGAAGTTTTTAGATATTTTTATAATATGATATGGAAACACAAAGTTTTTTACAATCAAACAGTGGTATTTTTTTCTATAATAATTATTTTATTCACATCACTTTCTTTCATTTGTTATACAATATAGTTGTTTTTTTTTGTAGTTTTCTTACAAAACAGTATCAAACACTAAATTTCATTATACATTTAAAAAATTTATTTTTCACACATACAGAACTAAATTATTTAAACCATGTCTGAAACATAAATCAAAATAATATCATCTAAATGCAGTTAACTAAAACAATTTAACATACCTTCCTAATCAGATATAGTTGTTATATAGAACAAAAAAAATATATACCTTAACACAATTTAATAATATCATTATTACATACAAAACTGCATACCTAATTAAATTATTAGTCTCATCTCTGAAAAAGTACAATACACATTTATATCAAGTGTGATAGTGATTTAGTGAGACTTTAATTGTATTATTAAATGAAGTTAATCATAGTAGCTATTATGAATAAGGCTAATTTTAGCAACTTTCATACACAATATTAATAAGTTGATAAGTCTTCATTAACCTTGACCAAAAAAAAAATGATAGTTAAAATTAAAATCTTGATCATCGTATTCATGTATACAAATTAAATACCTAATCTATTTAATTGAATAACAATTTTTAATTAAATATAAAATACACAGCATGAATATTAAATCAGTTGAATAGGCTATGATGAAAGTTCAACCAATTTCAGGTTACTGGGAAAACTATTTTTTTTTTTCATATGTAATTTAAATTTGAACTGCTTTATTTTCACTTCGTAAATTAATTGAATATTGAATGATTAATTAATTAAAGAGGTAAGGTTGGTTTATAAAAAAAAACAAGTATACAATGAAAAAGTTAAATGACATTTACAGAAATCAAAATCAAAATCACCAACATAATATGATAATTCATAAGATTAAAGTAGACAACTTTTTTAAATAAAAATTAGGTTAGTGTAAAAGTATAAAAGAACGGTTTAATTCGATTTTTTTTAAATAACAAATTATATAAATATGTATTGTATTTAAACTAGAACACATAGTTTACTATATTAAATCTATGCAAGTCAAATAACTCTCAGTGTGTTTTTTTGTAACTACGTTCTAATAACCATGAGCTTAACGATCTAACAGTTTTTTTTTATTTCAATCATACAATTAATGTGATTGACACCTTAAAATTTTAAACAGACAATTAGAATGTATCCATTAATTGGAAAATTAATAATGATAATATAGTTCAAAGTTCCATTAATATAATAAATTCAAATTTTCCATATCCAAGAAATTTAACCTTGATTAAGTCTCTCAATAATATAATTTACTAAATGAGCTAATACAAAAATATCATGAGAGTAGAGAAATTATGTATAAGAAAATTCCTTTTTACCAATTATGATACAATTTCTAATATCTAAAAAAATTAATTACTAAAATAAATTAAAAACAAAAAAAAAAATTCCATTATTGTATTATTTTTGTATATAAATGGCGACTAAATAGCTTCTCAAATGGTCAGTTTGTACTTATTGTGTTTGTGTAAACTGCTGCTGACTGATCGGTGTGTGATTGCAAGTACTTCTCCAGTCAATAGTGTGATCAGTTATTTTATAAAACCTGGTTGACATCTTATTGTATATTGGCAACAATTCATTAGCTTCGTTTGATAAAGCCTAAAAAAAGTTTCAATTGAAATAATAGTTTGATACAGAGGGTTTGACTAATGCCAAATTCAAAGTATTATGGGGTTACAGAATATAGAAATTGGAACTAAGTTTAAAAAAGTTTCCATCATTTATTACATAAATAAGTTACTTTTATATTATTAATAGTTGGTGTCTTATACTTATAAGCCATATAATAATTTTTTTTCTGTTTACTAAAGAAAAACATGTAAATACATTTGTTGTCTAGCTTATAACAATAGAAAATATACTAAGAAATAATTAATGGCAAAAAACAAATACAAATAATTGTCATCATCATATTTCACATGACAAGTAATTAACTTGAGAAAAAAAGGAATTGTTGAAACAATAATTTAGTAAGTTACGCAGAACATGATAAGTTAAAACATGTCAAATCATAAAAATATTTATAGCAATGACACTTAGTAAAATATGTAAGATATAGCGCTCTACTTAATAATATTCATTTTTTTCTCCGAGTAATGATAAATGGTGTAATTTTTTGTCTTTTAATATATTTGAAGATATTTTTTTCTACAGCAAATGTAAAAATTGGTTTATCCACAACCAATTAAATGTCAAATCTAACTCTATTTCTTTCAATTTACAATGCTTACTTATTAGTTATTGATCAGGCCAATACTTCTAATACATTTAATTGATACATTACTGACAAATTTTTTCGATTTATTTATTTTTTTCTAGAATCTTTTTTCTTAGATCATCTGAGAGTGATATTTTTTAACAAATATTGTGGGTCTTTTAAATTTTAAATTTAATATACAATGTGATTGCTATTAAAGTAACACTAAATTATAGGCCGGATGAACTTGTATTGAAATGAATTTTTTAGGGGTACCTAAGAAGTACTGAAATACATATTTTGTGAAATTTTCAAGTATGTAATATGTGCATTACTAAATGTATTCTTTTTAATTGTGATATTTATTTTTAGCACATGATTTGGATTGATCAAATGTTTTGCGGACATCAAATTATGAATAAAAATTTTAAATGTTTAAATAATATGTGCATTTTTGTTTGTGTTTATTTTATTGCCCTAATAAGTAATAACAATATTCAATACTATAGTAATTATCATAATAATAATAATAGAAGAAGTAGTATTAATTATACAGATAAACTTAAATGTGTACTAAATTTGTTGTATGTGATATTTTTGTGTTTGGTCAACTACCAGTATAGTTACAATTCAAACTATTTTTGCTGTGGAATTTTACTTCATACTTCATTAATTCTAATAATATTATAATAATCAGATAATGTTATTAATTATTGTTATGTTATGATAAAAAAACTGTATTGATTTTATATCTTAGATCCGTATTCCTTAGCTCAGTCTGCTTTTTTATAAGTGTGTCTAATAAGTATATAATATTAGATATTTCTTATTATCAATACTATTTGATGTCAGGAAATTATTTATAAAAATTAAAAACATAGTTGTCCTAAACGAAGTAAGATTTTTGCATAGAAATTATAACATATCACCGAAAAAAAAAATATAATTGGGTACATGAACATAAAATTAATAAATTATACAGGTAAATTAAACTTTTTTTTCATAACTGAATAATGGCTGTCATTCATTTAAGCTTAAACTTAGAGCCAAGTATAAAGAGTCAAATAGACTTGAAAAAAATCAATTAATCTAAATCATGTGCAAACAAAATTCGAACCTTTCACAAAATATGTATTTTAGCACCCCTTGGGTTCCCCCCAAAATTAATTTCAATAAAAGTTTATGCGGCTGAAATATTTAAATTGTTATCACACTGTATAAGACTAGCTATATATTTATAATTGTTTTTTTATTTATATTTTTATACTATTAATCTCAATAGATAAAATTTATAATAATTTGATAACTATATTGTAATTTAAAACTATTATCAAACATGATGTTATATTGAATCTTGATAATATAAATTATTTCTTACTTTCAAGTAAATAATGGCTTCGGTACCAAACCCATCACAAGATAACAAGACTAAATCTCCGTGCAAATATCTAGCGTAAAGCCTAGAAATAGGAAGTCCATAACCATACCCTAAAATTGTAACAACATTACATTAAAAAGCTGTACAATTGTTTATATTAAAATAAAACAAAATTGTTTAAAAATACTTTCCTGCTAATGGCACTGTATGTGCATCTGATTTTGAAGGTTGTGGAGCTGTTGAATACATGTAGTGAAACATACGTTCACTCAAACTCCTTGGAATGCCACCACCTTGGTCAGACACCTGTCGAGATAATAAAATATTTTTAGTATCTAATTGTACATATATATTTTGAACATATGTTTATTTTGTTCTCAAACTTTCATAATGCCAATAAATACAAGATCATTCTATTTTCACCCGTCATAAGTTATATCTGACCTGTACACTAAACATAATATATTAAGCTAATCTCATGTAATCATCATTAGATAGTAATTATGAATGAAAAATAAATCTTTATAAATATTGAATAATGCTATTAAGTAGAAATTAAAATAATACAAGTATGAAGATGATTATTATCTACAAATAATATTCAAATATTATTTAAAATTAAAAATATAATTTATCCAAGAATGTTTCAAAAAAAACAAGTATTCCATTAAAATTAAACAAAAATACTTCTATTTACAATGTAAGATATTCTTTTGGATAACATCAACATATGACAAATGTCAATAGATATTAACCATTAATATATCTATATCTAACTCAAAGTTACAATAATAATATATAACGTAGATAAAACATTTTTAAACTCACTTTAACACAGACATCTTCTTTTCCTTTTACAATTGTTACATGCAATGGTGGCAAAATATCAGTCTTATGATGCTCAACAGTAGCTCTCATTGAATTTTTGAATAATTCAAATAAAATATGATACAAATGTGATGGCACATAAACAATTTTTATTGGCTCATCATCAGCATCTGTAAAATTAAATACAATAAAATATCTGAGAGCATCAATTGTATGTATGATTAAACTTACCAATACTTTTACAGATTTCTAATTCGGGCGAGGTCAAATAATATTGGTCACACAAAAATCTAGCATTCTCGTAAGCATCTTTCACAACGCTTATCACATCACAATATGGATCAATACATCCAATATGTTGATGATGGTGATTGTTGTTAATATGGTCTCCAAATAATAATGCTTAAAAAGAAAAGAAATTTTAAAAAAGAAAAAATTTTAAAAATTTTCTTTAAACTTACTATGCTGGTTAATCAGCATACGAATACCAATTCGAGACATATAGAAACGATCGAGAAAGTATTGGATGCTGTTTTCAGTATGCAAATCAATTTCATGTGAATCTTTTAGCTCTAAAACACCTTGTGCCATTGTTTGGACAACATCTGAATGACGGTTACGAATTTTTACTAATATTTTACAAAATCTAAAAATGAATTTAAAAAAAAATAAAATATTAATTGTATAACACACAATAAATATTAAAGTATTGAGTATATGAGTAATTTTAAACAAAACTTCAAATTTTATAAAATATTTAAACATTTAAATATTTAGTTTATTTTGTGTAATTTGGTTTTCATTGTTTCATATTACCTATTGACAATGTAGTGTGTAGGGATTTATGTTTAATTTTAATAATATTAGAATTTTTTAGGATTAAATTTATTCTTACTTATTTAACGTTTGTTCCGTGCATCCATCATCAACTTCAAATTCAATCATTTCATTGAAAGATTGTGCATACCAGTTGTTCACTAAATTCACAGATGGCATTTTTAACAGATTATCTGGCAGCAAGTGAATTTCTTTCATAATATTAGCCAAACGAACTGGAAGTTCTTTCTTTAAAAATTGATATGATTTTTGTTCATTTGCCTTTAAACCTGTATTGATAATAATAGTAAGATTAACTTAAATTTACACATGATTCAATATCGAATAAATTACAATAATTGTAGGTCAAAATCAATAATTATTGACCATCTTTGTCCCATTTTGTTGGTTAAAGTATATTTGTAATAAAAATTCTAATTATTTAAATAAATGTAGTTTCTTCTTATGTGGACGTGGATTATTGTGTTTTTCGGCCTTTCACTCTTATTTGATAATATAATGTAATAATAGATTAAGTATGCTGATAATGTAATTAATTTATAGACAATTATTCAACATTATTAACAATACATATTTAAGTGTTATATTGATACCTATTATTAATATGTCTAATTTTAATTTCATTTTTAATTGCTCTTAAGTTGAAAAATAACAATTTTACATTCAAAGAATTTATTAAAAAAGAACAATCATTTTGTGCAACTTTCATAAAATAATGATTAATTTTAATAAATAAGATATTTTTTTAGGGGGTACCACTGACTTATAATGAACAAATAAAATGTATATGGTAAGAACTCAGTTTAAATCTGAATATATAAGATTTACTATATACCATATTATATTTATCAGGAATTTAAAACTATATTTTTAATTTTATAGTTGAATTTAGAATCAAGCAATTTCCCAGTCATCTCAATTTTAAGAAGTGAAGTGATCACTTCATATGATATGAGTTCAATGGCACTGATTACAAGAATAAAAGTTCAATAGTTTTATCCATAATAATAAATCAATTAAAAATAACAAAACCTAGAATAATCCACAAAAATATAATTTTATCTGATCTCAATGGAACAAACTTAATAATAATGGCAGTTAAACATAGGTCAATGTATACTGGAAAATAACTTAGAAAACCCAGTTAGATAACAATTCTGAGCTTAAAAACATCTTAAATATAATATGAATACAATTATTTATTGTTAATTAATAGTTAGTGAAAATGATTAGTAGATTATTTTGTAATATCGGTACCCAAAAATTAAATTATTAATTTGATAAAAAAAACTAATAATAAAATGTAAAAAAGCATAACTTAAAGAGATTATTTTGACTCTGTATATGCTAAATTTTAAGCGTTTAGTAAATATTGAGGTAAATATGCAATAGGTATTTATGTTATAAATAAAATAGTATTTACTTTCTAGGTCAGTAAAAAAATTCATTACAATCGACCTTCAAATGGTTATAATTGCAATACATTTATCAGTAGAATACCTTGTACAAACCTTTAATAATAAAACAATCCTTGAAAATTTTAAATGAAAGTAAAATTCAACTTAATTCATAGATTTTTAAATCAATTGATGAAAAAGTAATTATTTTTATAGTCTGTATTCATAATATATGGGCACATACAGAATATTTACATTCGGAATTTGTACAAAAAAGTCTTCGGACTTAACCTTTGAATAAAAAAAATCATAAAATTGTTGATAATGTTGTTACTTGTTATCAAATGGTTATTGTTAAATGATATACTGGATATAAAATATACAATAGACATCTGAGCAATATGGATTATGAGCGACGGTTATCAATAATTTTACATTGATCGACAAACAATATGTAATACTATAGTTGACTATTGTGAATGGTATAAAAATAAATAATGGTATCGGTATAATAATTGTAAATAACTCACCAAAGTCAATGAACTGTTTAATGGATAACGATGATGGATTAAACTGCGAGTAGAAATCGACCATTTTCTCCAGGTTTTTTGCCAGCCTATAGCCGATCAGCCTCATTTTGGATAAACGTTTTCGGTCAACAAAATGATGTGTTGTATGAGCACTGAACAGTGCAGAAACTGTGAATTATTTTCCGAGATGAAAAAAAACAAGCGAATCAATTAAAATTAATAACGTAGGTATATCGGCTGTAAAATAACTGATTAAACTTTAAAAAAAGGATTAAACTCTATCGAAACAACTACCAGCAGGTTACAGGTAGCGAATGAAATAAGTTATTTATCAACAATAATGATAACAACGTTAATTATTGATGTATTTATTAAAATAAATAAATAATATGTATGTGTATTGTACGCTATGAATGCATGTATTGTATCACATATATTTATAGTGTATTATAATATTATTTATGGTAGGAAGATAAGAGATAAGTGGATAGGAATTATAGTCGAGAGCGGCGAGCGAGGACAAAAAAGTTATCGTTAGTAGCGCCATCTAACGAAAACTGAAGCCACTTGACTGAAACTGGGCCAAATTCGATTGTTTTCACTCGACAATCTATAGCGTGAACGAAAAACGTCATACAGAAGTCGTAAAATTTAAAAAATTCAGGCTGCTTATTAGAATTTAGAAAATAATAATAGTTATAACGCTCTCGTTAATTTTTGAACTGAGCGGCTAGAGATAATATCTAATGATAAGTGAATAAACTCTGCTTTAAAAAAAAATCATCCGATAATAATAATTAATAATTATCTCGAATTGTATTTAATGATTTCAACTCATAATAAAACAGTTAATTATAATAACTGCGGTCTGTAAAGCACCAGCGTATAATGTATAATACAGCGAATAACGATGCGATCGGACACGATAAGCCCGTAAGTTTGTAATGGAAATAAAATATGACAATTTGTTATTATAATATAATAATGTAGCCATATAGGTACCATCGTATAATATTATTATACCTATAGTATGGCTGCATCGGGCATACCTATAATGTTTGCTACGCCGACATTGTGCATATTTTTACGGCACTGCTATCGGCCAATATGGAAAATTCAAAGTAGTCGTTTCCGATGGAAGATAGGCCATTAATGAACGAATTGGGGAAAAAACTTAATTTCGAATATATTTTTATATTATATATTATATTATATTATTATAAAATGTATATATTTAGAATCAATGGTATTTAGAAATTTAGTTGGAGACAAAATTAAAGCAGTCTTATAATATGTTAATATCACTCTAAAAGTCTAAACTAGTTAAAATAATAATAATTTCAGCATTAATTTTTACATTTTTAATTTTCATACATCATCTGTTTTGGAAATAGGCTACTAAATTACACAATAAGCCAATATTAATTAGTGTTATTAATAAAATAATAACACTGCTTAGTTGTTAATTACTTTGTGCATGCGTTTAAATATATAATGTTGATTGACGATAGTTAATTTTAATTTTTTATATTTCTCAATTATCGTGTTTAAAACCACCTTAAAAATGGACGGGTTTGAGATGCTTTTATGTCCTGTTAAAACCGAAATATTGAAGACTAAAACACCGACAAACACGATCGTGGATCGAATTCTATTCTTTCGATTCGTTAATGCCGTTTCACTATACGAATTTCAGCCATAAACTAACCATGACGGAAATATGTACGCGACAAAGGTCTCTTTCTCTCTCTCTCTCTCTCTCTCTCTCTCTCTCTCTCACTCGCTCTCTTTCTATCTCTCACACTTGCGTTCTCTCTCTCTCTCTCTCTCTCCCTCTCTCTCACACATTCGCTCACTCACTCTCGGTCATTCACTCTCTTTCTGTATACTCTTCGCGTACTTTTATAGCTATATAGACATGTTGCTGTAGATAATAGGTAGGTACCATACGTCCATACATTGCTCGTCATGAACTGCAGTGTTGTAAACTGTCGAAAATTAGAACACAAATAAGTTTTTGTTTGTACTCTGTGGACTGAAGTAGCGCAATTAAAAATGTTTTAAAAACATAATTTTAGCATTCTTATAAGCATTTCCGTAGCTATAGAATATTATATAATATGTACGAGACGGTCTGAAGACTGAAATAATAATTAGGCGCAAACCATACAATGACACGTTTAGAATTGGCGCTAAAAAAATAATCTTACTAGTATTTATTTGTAAAATACTTAAAAACATCACTACTTAAGAAACACCTATACGGGCTATACAGTAGGTAGGTGTTCAAAGGTATAAGTATTAAGTAGCTATTCATAATAGACTGCAAAACTCGTACAATTTATTTTAAAAATTAAATCGACTGCTAGGTACGTCATGCATGTATAATGTGTTGGCTTGACGGCTATTCGTGTTAGGTACTGCATTGAAATAAAAATAAAAATATTATGTTATTACTTATTAGGTAGGTACTCACCACTAGTCACCAGTCACAGTCTAGTAAACGTATTGTACGTTTTCTGAACGTCAATTGATAGCGTTGTAGCAAAAAAGATAAATTACAATCGTGTGGATCGTAATAATACTACTGTAGATGTATTAGTGAGATATCACATACCCATGTAATTATTAAATAACAATATTCCGATTCTGCCATCCGATCACGACCGTGAAAAACACGCAAACGATGTAACGGATCGATATAATTTTGATAATACAATCGATTTTGAACGATTTCTGGAGGCCAGAGTGACATCAGTCGTACAAAGCTCTACACATTTTGTACAAGTAACAAGCTCGACGCTAGTATGGCTACTTGACGCACTATGTCCCGCGCACGGTATGTGTGTTAGCAGTTAGTGTTTTTACCACGGTCGTGGTATCCGACCCAAGCATTCGACCTTTGGTGGTGGTAGGCTAGAGTCTGACGGCCTATTCGAAAGAGTGACGGCGGATATAATATATTACTATTATTATTATTATTATTATTATTATTATTATTATTATTATCATATTACGTGCACGTCACAATTATGTGATAATTATAATTTAAATTGTTAGTATAATACATTTTAATTATAATTAAACATTTAAGTATTTAACATATAGGTAGGTACTTAAATGTTAAATTTTTTTTTTAATTTTAAGTTTCTTACCAAACACACGAACGCGCGACCGAGATAATATTACAAGTGCCTAGGTACCTAATATTATTAAATAACAAGTGACGACAAAAACAACTACAGCAAAAATACCTTTATACATAATACATCACATACGATGTATTATATTATGTTGACATGTTGTACAGTGAAGAGGTACCTCTTCTCAGTGCCTGCGTGGATATAATTTCAAGAGATTTATCGGTAAAAGTGACGGATAAACTACGTGTAATAAATTGTGTACCTGCAGTAGCGTGAAATAAAATAAGTAAAATTATCGGGAATTCGGCAAACTGTATACAACTTTTTTTTATTTCCAGTACGTACATATACTGAGTTCAGCGAAAGAACAGAACTATTCCTCGCATACCATGGGGCGGGCTGTAGCTGTTGTAGTAGCAAGGAAAAACGAGCTTTCTTCCGCAGCACAGTCTCCCGCGGGAAGCGCTATACTTTATGCATTGTTCTTATTTGGTTCGAACTTTAGAGTCCATAAAAAATCTAGGCAATGAGCATAAATTTAAATTGTCATATTGTATTTTATTTAAGCTTTTGATAAACATTTTTGTATTATTTTCATAGAAACAAATCTTACTACTCCTCCACAATCTACCAACACTATTAATACAATTTTTTTGGAAACTGAAATTCCACACACAATAGTCACTATATTTACTTATTGACATTTGACACTATACAATTCAAAACCAGGTTTCGGGACGTATGACAACCTTAGCATAATTAAAGTTTAGTATGGATTCATTTTTCGAATTTTTATTTTTTTTAAAAAGTATAAAAAACTGAATTTGAAAGTATTTGAAAAAATTATCACTCTTATTGAGGTTGGGTTCATATTGATTTTACAATATAGTGAGATTTTTTTGATTTTCACAGGTTTTATATTTTTACTGTATAGTAGAGCGGTACCCGCTAGCTTATGTATTTTTTTTATAATTTTTATTCGAATGCAATTTTAGATAAATATAACTTTTATTAATATACCTAATAAATTACAATTATTATTAATCCGAATTTTTAATTAGAACTAGGTAATATCCAATGAAATATCGTGTGGTTTTTTTCGGTGTACTATTAAAAAAAAACACATGAGTGGTAGTTGGATAATATTAATTACCAATGTCGATGTTTACATTAACTATTTACTATTATAATTTATAGTAGGTACACATTTAACATCCAACCAGAAAAAAAAATTATTTAGGTGCACATCTACACTTCTATAGTTTAGTGTTGATTACAATGACAAAATGTATAATTTTGGATACTGATGGCCAGTTAGTATAGCCGATATAGGACATAGGTACCTACTACCTATATAGTTTGATACTTAGGTCTTAGGTATATAAAACAAAATTATATCAATGTTTTAGATTGATACAAAGATAATCATAAATATAATATTTATTAAAATATTATTAATTTCGTCCTAAATAACATATAGATTTCAGTTTAAATTTCCAACTAACTATTGTTAGAAAACAATTGAATAATTTATTTTTGGGCCCCATCCCTCCCCCCTAGTTGCACTAATGAATAAGGCTTATACATATATAAACAAATAGGAATATTTTAATTTAAAAAAATATATTTTAATAGAGACCGGACAAAGTAATATATATAGTACACCGTTAATTATAAAACAGAGCATTAGACTATATAGGCAGTCAATGTTGCTTCTAAAATATTATAGCTGTTATTCGATCCATATATACAGAAATAATAATAATAAAAAAAAATAATAAATTATGAAACATAATATTCTTGGGATTGATCGTATGACTGATCTGAACAGTCTGCTGTACTACATAGAATATAGAGGTCGACACGTTTAACCGATAATGGACCACGTCATGAATAATTAAATGTGATGTTAAATAGTAAACAGATTTAATTCGCGATAAATTGCAATGAGTTGAACTGTATAACAGACGAGTTCAGTGATTCGTATTACGTGTTGTCTACATGCATGTGTATATAATTTATACAATAATAATAGCGCTGACTGAGCACACGCTCACACATCTGCACACAGAATACACCGTAATACAACAATGTTAGTGTATTCACTATTGTATTTTACGCGTGGGTTTAAATTATGATATGAACCGTCCTATTTAATAGTATGTATTTCTGATTATTACTCTCGCGTCCTTATAGAAGTTGACACTATCATTTATAATATTGTCCATTACTATTAATTAATAATAAGTTGATTATACTATTATCGTTTTACGAATTACGATTTAAAAGCGTACGCACTGCGTACAGTAAGTCGTACAGACGTGCTGGCTATTAAACACAATAATAATTAATAATTATTAAGAAATACTAATAATGAGGAATACTAATATGGATAATGCGTGCATTCCACTTTCAACTTTATTTTTATGCCATATTTTTTTGTTTAAACAATGTAATACAATTTTTGAGGTCTCCTTATTTTGAAAAATAAATTACAAAATTGATTACAAATCAATAATATTTCAAATAAGCGTAAGTAAATAACTCAATAGTTTACTTGTCCATGTTTCACATTTTAAATGCCCGTAATGTATTATTATTAGTAGACCACGAACAAAAGTCTTCACTATTAGCTTCACTAATCGGGCTAATCTTATTGCCGTATAGTACCTATTATGCGTGTATATTATTATTTATTACGCGTGCAGGATGTGTGGCGTGTATCGTGTCCATAGAAAAAAATTTGGAACATAATAAAGTTTAAATCGAAATTAAACAATTGCGTATTTAGATAAAATATTATTGGTTGACGGGAGAAATTTATTTGATTAACTTGCTACTTAAATATTTGTAAATTTTAAAATGTTTGTTATAGAAAATGTTAAAACCGAGGCAAAACATATATAAATATTATCATTGATTAAAATATTTAATACAATATAGCCTCAATGATATTATGTATTGACTGCTTAAAAGAAAGAAAAATATTGACGAATTTATAACGACTATTGCTTACATACTCTTATTCTAATTATTATTCATTTTTCGTTTTCTATTTTACTGTTACATATTAATAAATTTAACTTTGTATTGAATTTTGTATTTTTATTCAATAGCAATAATCATTTTTAGAATTTATAATAAAATATTGCAAAAAAAAAAATTGAAACTGAAAGTGGGACGCATGCGAGACGCTCCAGGTAGCTATATATTTTGTGTCTTTTTTATCCTAGATTCAGTATTATACAAAAGTAAACAACCATGATATTTTAATTAATTTATATAATAGTTAATACATCAATATTGTCTGTTGATCTTAATTTCTAACTATTTAATATTTCTAATACAAATATGAAATAAATGTAAATGCACTTCTTATTTCCCGAAACGTAGTATAAATAATGTAGGTACCTATATCATATTAAGCATCTATATTCACTGAATATCTAATACCTTTATCTCATATTATATTTATATACTATTATACTATATTGTCTATATAGTACCTACCGTTGAATTTACGATAAAAAAAAACCATTAAAAACAATATTTGTATATTAGCTATACTAAAAAGTTAGAAACTAAGATTAACAGACAATATTTATGTATTAATTATTATGTGAGTTAATTCAATTATCACTGTTGTTTGCTTGTGTATGATTCTGTGATATTGATATTATAATGTACCTATGGTGTTTACGTTACAACCGACCGTGACCGTAGCCGATAGACTCCTGCGATATTTAGAAATTAGAAATTACGTAAATAAACAACATGTGAAATTTAAAATTTGTTTTGTTTTTGCATTACGACAGTACCTACTTTTGAGTCTGACTTGAGAGAGGCACCTCGTGTAATATGTGTTTTTAACTTTTACAGTCTACTTTTCGAAAAAAAATATACACTAGACACAACATTTATTTATTTGATTAGTTAAAAATTTTAAGTAATATTTAATAATTGTATAATTATATGTTTATAATATAATAATTAAAATTATTGTATTTTATAATTATTATCCAAGTAGACTATCTATAGATGAGACAAAGTAGTATAAAATATTTGTATAGATATAATGTTCAACATTTATTGTATTTTTTTTTCGTTTCATCGAATGTTTTTTTCAGAATAATCGGAATATTCGGAATAGGTAACTATTATGAGTTATCACTAGGGAATGGATTTGAACGGAAATCGAATTTTTTCTGAATGTCCAAAACATTGCTTTCCAAGCACAAAGTTCATTGTATACATCAAGGAATTAAAAATTGTAACTTTTATTATACATTTGAATGTTTTTAAGTCGTTTGTATTTAGGAATGGATAAAATTCGATAAAAATGTAGTTAACATTTATTCTAAAAAAATAAAGATAAATATTTATTATATGTTTTTACCGATCAAATGAATATGACGTCAGACGAAATTATTGTTGACACGTGTAGACACTAATAACAATACATTATACATACATACAACATACATGCAATTAGGTAAAGATAAGATAAGCCATTTATCTAAATCTCAATTTTGTATTGCACTATTGAATTTAGTTATTACATGATTTTAAGAGCATTTTTTTATGCATTTAAAAAAAAAAATGTTATATTGTGTGCATTAAATGATATTTTTGTTATTTTTGTACTTTTCACATATTTTTTTAAAAATTAAATACAAAATAACCAAGTACATTTCATGCTTCTCACTGGTTAAGTAAAATATTGGCAATATCTCGAGTTATTAACAATTTTTGAAAAAAAAAACAAAAATGT